AGAAATCCCTCAGGACCCAGCCAAAAAGTTACCTTCTCCCTCAGCTAAACATGATCCCTCCCATGGCTGAACTCTTTTAAAGCTCTCTATCATCCATTTGAAGCCCTGGTGGTGCAGTGGTTAAGAGCTGTGGCTGCTAACCAAAAGATTCGCAATTTGAATCCACCAGCACTCCTTGGAAACCCTGTGGGGCAGTTCTACTCTGTCCTATAGGGTCACTGTGAATTGGAATCAACTTGATGGCAACCAGTTTTTTTTTTATCTTTCATTTAAAGAGCCCTGGTTGCGCAGTGGTTAAGGACTCGTCTGTGAACTGAAAGTTCAGTGGTTTGAACCCACCAGCTACTCTGTGGGAGAAAGATGTGGCAGCCTGCCTCCATAAATAGTACAGCTTTGGAAACCCTATGGAGCAGTTCTACTTTGTCCTGTAGGGTATGAGTCAGAATTGACTAAAAGTCAACGGGTTTGGTTTGTTTTATTTTATCATTCATTTATTCATTGAATAAACAGTTATAGAGATCTGTCATGTGGCAGGCTCTATTTTAGGAAATGAGTATTTGGTAGGGAACAAAAGAAACTGTTCATGTCCTTGTGGATCTTGTAATATGTGGCACTTTAAATCTTGTGTTACTATTAATGGTGAATATTTCTTTCCACTTCTGGATTTTTAAGTTGCTTGATGACAAGGTGTGTAGCTTATTCAGGACTGTATCTCTTTCAGTGCTGAGTGTTCAGTATATTTTTTCTTGAATAAAGAAGTCAACATGAAAGAAGAGAAAATTTTCCATGAGTAAGCAAAGGCAGATATGAATAAGCTATTTGCTGGAAAGAAGAACAGTTGTAACAAGCCATGAGCAACCAAAGATGGCATTGATTTCTAATAGTTCTATGTCCGGCACTTGGTTTCAACAGTCTAGCATATTTGAAAAAGCCTATGTAGCCACCAGCAAGTGTGATATGAATTAGTGGTGTGACATGGTTGCCCAAGAAGCCAGTTTGACTCATACTATGTTAATGAAAGTATACTTTCTATAGTGAGGAAGGTGATAGCCATGTTCAATTCTATGCTTACCTGTCCACTCTTGCTGTGTTACAATCTGTATTATTGATGGAGGGCATGCTTCATGAGGGTTCTAGACAGAAGAATGCATTCAGAGGAGAAGTGATGGAGGACCTAAGGGACCTCAGAACTATGTCATGGTAGAAATGGTAAAAGAAATCGGAAATGTTTAGCTTGAAGAAAAGATGATTAGGGGAGAAAGGATAGCTGCGTTTAAGTATGTGAAAGACTGTCATGTGGAAGAGATTGTTACTGTTCTGGGTATGCTGAAGGAGGAGAACATGAGATCTGTAGGTAGGACATGGAAAGATGGATTAGGACTCAAAGAAGACCATGTCCCAGAATAAAAGAGTAAATTTCCTTGGAACAAAGTGAACTTCTTCTCATTATAGGTGTTCAAACTCTTGGTAGTCAACCACTTTTCTGTGTTGCTTTAGAAGAGTTGAACACTAGAGGTTACGATGAAATAGGTTAAACTAAAAAGCCTGTGTGTAGTCATCTACCATGAGGTCTTCTGATGGGATAACCCAAGAGAAATTCAGATTACAGTCTTTCAGATTGAATCTCCCTTTATTTTGGATTGAATCTTTTGGATTGCAAGCTTCTTTATTCTTCACACTTTGTGTATTTTAGTATCTTGGATTAATGAACTGATGGACACAATAGACTGATAGACAAAGTCCTTGATTTCCTTTTGAGATTTTCAATTTGCACTCTGTGTAGTCATTCTGTATCATCTTAAATAAATCATTTAACTTTTCTAGGACTTGAGCTATAAAGAGACTGAGTGTAATCTATTGGGCTATGCTAAACTTTAGCCAGGTGTGTGCTCGGAAGAATCTTTGTGACATGTGAGATTTTAAGTCTTCTTGGAATTGAAGAACTAAAGTTTTATGTTATTTTTGGATGTGATTGAAGAATGTTACATTTCAAGACCATTTTGTTGAGTTAATTTAAACCCCCACTCCGTAGAGAATGCTTAATGCACATATTTCATGAGTCTCTTTGGTATCTCATGATTATTAAAGTTGATGATCTTTATAGTACCACAGCCACATGCCTCTCAAATTAGTCTATTGTGGCCCCAAATGTATACCAGTTTCTTTCTTAGTGTCTGATTTATTTTCTCTTAAAATTAGGTATTCATTCTCGGTAAGATGTGAATTATTGGTGACCGTTTTTACTTCACGAAGCACAGATCAATACAATAGTTAGGAGAGTTAGAATTTATATCAGTTAAGATCTTTTTGAGCATATGGTTAGCTCTCTGCAGGGCATTTTGTAAATGCAGAAAGTTAAGATACGATCCCTGCCTACAAGCTTAGATTTTAATTAGAGAGACAATATGACATGAGAACCAAAAACCAAACCAAACCCATTGCCTTCGAGTCGATTCTGACTCATAGTGACCCTATAGGACCGAGTAGAACTGCCCCATAGGGTTTCCAAGGAGCAGCTGGTGGATTTGAACTGCCAGCCTTTTGGTTAGCAGCCGCACGCTTAACCACTGTACCACCAGGGCTCCAAAGCATCATAGTGTAGCTTCTTTTTCCCCACAGGGGAGCTCAAGATAGTTCACTTATGTAACCTCAATAAATCTTACAGTTTTAGGAGCTGTTCTTAATATATGTCAAAGTTGTCATTACTGACCCTTTGTCAACAGAATAGATGCTTTGAGTGGTGTTATTTTACTCCATTATCTTCATAGTACATGAGAAAAGAAGACTCATCTTCTTTGCAGGTAGACATTATGGACTGTATCATATAAAGGGAAAGGCAAGAGAGATAGCAGGGGTGCAGCATTCGACACAGGATCTGTAATCAGATCTGAAGTCTTCTTACTAGTAAAGTTTCTATTATTTTGGAATTTGGAGTGAGGGGAGAAGGGGCTAGACTTTGGCTTCCTGTAGTTGTGATTTCAAATAATTAAAACCAAACAATAGTTCAGCTTAATCGGTAAAAAATGTCTGCCTTGAGTATTAAGCTCTTTTAAGAACTATCTCTATGGGCTCAAATCAACAACTCAAAAGATTAGGTAGGAACCTTAGGGGCCAGTGAGTTTATGTTCATGGGAGAGGAACAACTCTTAAAAGGCGGATAAGAATGGTTGCACAACTGGAAGAATGTAATCGGTGTACTGAATTGTACATGTAGAAAGTATTGAATTGGTGTATGCTTTGCTATGTATTTTCCTAACAATAACAACAAAACAAATAAAGTTTAAACAAGAACTTAATAAAAAATTAACAGAAGTGTGGATTTAAATAAAAAAGAATATTGCTAGATTGTCACCTTTGCCAAGTGAATTATCAGATGGGTTGGGACTGTTGACACATGAGGTCTATGGAGAATGAATAATTTTTTAAGAACATGAAATAGACTATTACAGCTTTGACCTAAACATTGGAGAAACTTTTAAAATCACACTGTGGTAATCTTTTTTCTTTAGACTTATTAGCTTGCTTAATCTTTCTTCTCTCTGTAAGTGCAAATATATAAGAGCATAATCTTATGTTTTGAGAATCATTTTTTTTATTTTTGGTCTACGTTAGTGATCTGTCATTTCCCTTTGGGTTTTATATTTAAACTCATGTAACAACTGGAAATAAATCAGGTGCAATTAACCTGGGAGGAGACTTTTTTTTTTAATTGCTGTACTTTAAGTGAAAGTTTACAATTCAAGTTAGTCTCTCATACAAAAATTTATACATACATTGTTATGTGACCCTAGTTGCTCTCCCTGTACTGTGACAGCACACTCCTCCTTTCCACCTCTGATTTCCCGTGGCCATTCAGCCAGCTCCTGACCCTCTCTGCCATCTCATCTCACCTCCAGATAGGAGCTGCCCATTTAGTCTCATGAATCTGCTTGAGCTAAGAAGCACACTCTTCACGAGTATCATTTTATGTCTCATAGTACAGTCTAATCTTTGTCTGAAGAGTTGGCCTCGGGAATGGTTTTAGTTCTGGGTTGACAGAGAGTCCAGGGGCTATACCTTCTGAGATTCCTCTGGGAGGGGACTTTATTGGAATAGAGTTAGATGTTATTAACATTATTATTACCTATTGTAATATAATAAAACCTCAGCTTGCTTTTATTTCTTGCTGATTCTTAATTTAAATCAAAGACTATCTGATGTAATTGAATTTTAAAAAAAAAAAATCAACCTCCAGGGGATGTTCTGGTTTTTATAATATTGAGACCACCTGGCCATGGACATCATTTTTAGTCAGCTCAGCAGTCTCAGAGTTGCACATTCCGTTTCTCTACTGCCTAGCATTATGTCTCTGGACCCCATGTGTGTCAGAGTAGAACTGTGCCCCACAGGGTTTTCGGTGGCTGAGTTTTCAGAAGTAGATCATCAGGCTTTTCTTCCAAGGCACCTCTGGATGGACTTGAACTTCCAGCCTTTTGGTTAGCAGCCAACCATGTTAACTGTTTCCACCACCCAGGGCCTGGTACATAAAAGTTAATGATAGTGAGAATGGTTACACAACTTGAAGAATGTAAATGGTGTCACTGAATTGTACATGTAGAACTTGTTGAAATGGTGTACCTTTTGCTGTGCATATTTTCACCAAAAAAATTAACATAAATCAAATTAATCTTTACAAAGTTAATGAAGGAGAGTTACTATATAGCAAAATGTCACTGAGTTGTTGTAAAATTCTGAATCATCAAAAATAATTCACTTTTGCTCTCCATGCTGCATAGCCTAAGGCAGGAAAGGAGACTGAAATGCCTCAGATGTTCTTTTCTGGAGTTAACGCTGCCAAAGGTTTCCTGTGTAAACAGTAAAAGTGTTAATTATCCATAAGCTAATTCTTGAAGATTACAGTGAGAGGAGTTTTCATCCTCATTCATTCTGTGTTTCCTTCTGTCTGAATATCACCTGTTCTGACTGGGATGCTTGCTGTCGTTTTCTCTGGTTTGGAGTAGATGATCGACAGAATATGTGTGAAAGTTCAAGACCATCTCAACTCTTTACGAAATTGTGGGGGAGATGCTATCCAGGAAGATTTAAAATCAGCAGAAAGGCTCATGCGTGATGCTAAGAACTCTAAAACGGTGAGTTCCACTTCAGGTGATGTGAAAGTCTTGTATATTTAAAAAAATGAAGACTATTTTAGGTTGTGTAAAGGCCCTTCTGAAGTATAATAAACTCTTCAGTATTTATGATGAAAGGGAAAGATGTTAGCGTGGATGAATTAATAATCAAAAAATCCAATTTTATAAACTATAAAGTAATATGATTTGCCTCAAAATTAATGGAAGCAAAGTGGGGCAGAAAATTGGTAGGGATTTAGTTTAAGCAAGTTGGGACATAGATTTATATCCAGTTGAGGCTTTTTGATGAATACAAGGAAGTTTCTTATATTATTCGCTTATTTTTGTATATGTTTTAAATTTTCCATAAGAAAAAGACATTTGTAAATTCAATTTTAGAAATTCTAACTTTCTTTACCTCTGTACCCAATTCCAAGGGTACTAATGTGTGGCAAACTGAATTTGTCTTTGCCTCGTTTCTATAACTGTGCTGATTATCAATAATCAAAATGTAAAAGAAAAGCAGAGGGCCAGGATGATTTACGAAGGACGTATTAGGGCCCCAAATATCTGAGAGATAGTTGTATTTTAAATGAGTAACAACTCATTTAAAATTATCCTAGTTCCCAGCTGATACCATGAAATTCCCCTCTGTCTCCTCTAAAATTATTTTTTGGTTCCTAGAGTGGAATTTAGTAGAGAGAGGACTAGCTGGCAGCCATAAAACTTGAGATCTGGTCCTGGCTCTGTTATTAGAATCACACAGTCATTGAATATCGTAAGTGAGAGATTTATTTATAAGTCATAAAAACTGTCATACCCTAGATGTGGATATTAAGGCACAAAGGGACAATATACTATTCCTGTGGTCTCAAAGGTGGTTAATGACAGAAGTGACCACTATGGAGGTCTCCTAATCTCCAGTCTAGTGTGTCTTAAGATTGTTGTGATTTGTTGCATAATGTCTATAAAGAGCCTGGACCTCAGTTTATTAATATGTAAGAAGGGTCTCTGATTGAGAATAGATTATCCCTAATAATATTTCTTCAACCTCTTCATTAACTGTACAATGACTTTGGTGCTTATTTAAATATCTTCTCAATTATTGAGAGGTTAATTTTTATTTTTCTTTCAGTTGTTACCAAATTTATACCATGTTGGTGGTGCATCTTGGGCAGGAGCCAGTGGTTTGTTATCCAGTCCAATACAGGAGACCCTGGAATCAATGGCTGGAGAAGTTACACGAGTTGTAGATGAACAACTAAAGGTCTGTGGGTTTTTTTTGAAAATGAAGTTGTTATGATTCAACTATGTATGATAGCATTTCATACCCTAGCTACATATGTTTTATAGGACTGTGTGTGTGTGTGTGTGTGTGTGTGTGTGTACATGTGTACATGTGCTTATGCATGGGTAGTAAAAAATTGAAGAGTATGTCTTCTGTAACTTCTTTTATAAGCTTTGGAACAACTTCTTAGATAAAGAAGTCAAGTAAAATGGCTCCGAATTCAATTTTATTTTTGATGGTAAATCTCTAAGTGTACTTACTATATGATAGTTTGCCAGTGACTTCAGTGATAAAGAAATGATTGATTTATACTTAGAGGCAGAAAGAGAGGTCTGCTTCAGGAAAAAATGTCTACCATTATTACACTTGATTTAGAGAATGGGAAAGATGATGGGAGCTGTGCTTATAGTGCCTAGATGCTGCTTATTTGGGGAGTCTGCCAAGGCAAATAGATAATGATCCTTTTAAGTAGCTGGTTGAAAGGCTAGAAAAGGGATTTAGAGTAAAGTTACAAGGTACCAAAAGTAGCAGAGACCTGCCTATAGGCTCAACGACTGGAAAAAAGAGAGGAAAAAAAAAAAAAAAAGGCTCTGAAATTGTAAAAGGTAGAGTAACCTAAGAAGTACCTGAGGGGCGCAAATGGTGAAGCACTTGACTACTGGCCAAAAGACTGGCAGTTTGAACGCTCCCAGAGGTGCCTCAGAAGGAGGTCCTAGTAATCTCCATCCAAAAATTTGACCGTTAAAAACTCTATGGAACACATTTCTACTCTGCACGTATGGGGTCGCCATGAGTCAAAATCAGCTGATAGTTTACAACAACAAGAGTAATCTATGACCAGATTTTTCTAAAGGTAACTTTATAAACCATGACTTGTGTCAGCCACACCTTAGTCCTCAAAGTGACATCTCTGCTTTTTAACACTTTAAAGAGATCTTTTGTAACAGATTTGCCCAGTGAAGTACATCGTTTGATTTCTTGACTGCTGCTTCCGTGGGTGTTGATTTTGGCTTCAAGTAAAATGAAATCCTGAACAACGTTAATCTTTTCTACATCTATCATGATGTTGCTTATTGGTCCAGTTGTAAGGATTTTTGTTTTGCTTATATTGAGGTGTAATCCATACTGAAGTCTGTAGTCTTTGATCTTCATCAGTAAGTACTTCAAGTTCTCTTCACTTTCAGCAAGCAACGTTGTGTCATCTGCATATCACAGGTTGTTAATGAGTCCTCCTCCAATCCTAATGCCGTGTTCTTCTTCATATAGTCCAGCTTCTTGGATTATTTCCTCAGCATACAGATTGAATAAATATGGTGAAAGGATACAACCCTGACACACACTTTGCCTGATTTTAAGCTATACAGTATCCCCTTGTTCTGTTTGAACAACTGCCTCTTGGTCTATGTACAGGTTCTGCATGAGCACAATTAAGTGTTCTGGAATTCTCATTCTTCGCAATGTTATCAATAATTTGTTACGATCCACAATTAACAAGGAAGACCAAAGAAGAATTAATGCCTTTTAATTATTCTATTGGCAAAGAATATTGAATATACCATGGACTGCCACAAATTTTATCCTGGAAGAAGTACAGCCAGAATACACCTTAGAAGGGAGGATGGTGAGACTCGTTACCAGGAGGGACCAGTCCCTGGAGAAGCACATCATACTTGGTAAAGCAGAGGGTCAGCGAAAAAGAGGAAGACCCTCAGGGGAGATAAATTGAGACAGTGGCTGCAACAGTGGGCTCAGAGATAGCAACAATTGTGCAGATGGCACAGGACCGGGCAGTGTTTTGTTCTAATGTACATAAGGTCGCTATGAGTCAGAGCTGACTCAATAGCACTTAAAAACAGCAATAACAACTTTATAAAATAGCTATACCAGAGAAATTTCACATTCAGGAAGTTTTCATTTTCGATCTGCCTGTTCAAGGATGCTTAAAAAACCTTGTCTAAATTTCTATAATTATTTGGTCTGTTTTCTTTTTAGAAAACAATTGCTGCAGCACATAGGGATTTAATGTGCAACTCAGGAATAACTTTGCAATATGCTGATTACTCTCTTTGCAGATAAGTTAATGAGGGAGAAAATGTTGTGGATTATTTAGGAGTTTAAGCCCCTGTTTTCCTTTGCTTGTAGTATGAAGAGACTGTTGGGTGTCATTTTGATTTTATTTAACTGTGGTTATTTTCTGAGCAGAGACAGATGGGTAGAAAAGGGACAGGTTGGTTGGTATAGAGTTCTGTCAGATCATTTGTTACCTAATAGATCCTGTTTTATCCTCCATGAAGGAGAGGATACTTCTTACATGTTTAAAACAAAATCAGCTTTGGTTGTGTATTTCTGACTATAAAAAATGAAGCTTACTGTCTTAGTTATTTAGTGCTGCTATAACAGAAATACCACAAGTAGATGGTTTTAACAAAGAGAAATTTATTCTCTCACAGTCTAGCAGGCTAGAAGTCCAAATTCAGGGCATCAGCTCCACGGGAAGGCTTGCTCTCTCTGTTGGCTCTGGAGGAAGAAGGTCTTTGTCATCAATCGTCCCCTGGACTAGTAGCTTTTCAATGTAGGGACTCCCAGTCCAAAGGGTGTGCACTCCTGGTTCTGCTTTCTTGATAGTATGAGGTAGTGTGAGGTCCCCATATCTCTCTGCTTGCTTTTCTCTTTTATATCTCAAAAGAGATTGGTTTAAGACACAGACTAATCTTGTAGATTGAGTCATGCCTCATTAATATATAACTGCCGCTAATCCCACCTCGTTAACATCATAAAGGTAGGGTTTACAACACATAGGATAATCACATCAGATGACAAAATGGTGGACAATCACACAATACTGGGAATCATGACCTAGCCAAGTTGACACACATTTTTGGGGGATACAATTCAATCCATAACACTTCTCTTTGTGAAACATAGAAACAGTACAACAAGAGTAAAACCACTCAAAATCCCAGAGATAGCATCACTGTTAATAATTTAGTGAATTTCCAGACATTCTGTGCCTACACACAGAATTTTACAGAAATGTGATCATACTATACAGTATTACGGTAAGGTAGAGGGTCAGCGAAAGAGAGGAAGACCTTCGATAAGATGGATTGACACAGTGGCTGCAACAGTGGGCTCAAACATTGCAACAATTGTGAGGGTGGCACAGGACCAGGCACTGTTTCGTTCTGTTGTACGTAGGGTCACTATGAGTCAGAACCAGCTCGACAGCACCTAACAACAGCAAAATCATCAATATAGTTCCAGATCAGTGAATAATCACTATCATTTTTAACGGCTATATGTTATTCTGTTATATAGATATATTAGCATAATTTGTTTTCCAACTTCTGATTAATTCTATTAGGTTAACCCATTGCCTTCAAGTCTGTTCCTGTTCATGGTAACCCATGTGTTACAAGCAAAACTACTCCATAGGGTTTTCTTGACTGTAATATTTATGGAAGCAGATCGCCAGGCTTTTTCTTGCATGGCACCACTGGTTGGGTTCAAACTGCCGACGTTTATGTCAGTAGTCAAGCACAAACCATTTGCACCACCCAGGATTAAATTCCTATAATTGACACATTGCTAGGTCAAATGGTACATACGTTTTACACTTTCATATATATTCTCAAACTGCCCTCCAGTAGTGCAGGCAATTGCCCGTTTTGCCACATCCTCACCAGCACTAAGGATATCGACTTTTTAATATTTGTCCATGTAAATGGGTAAAGAAATGATATCTTGTATCTTTTGAACTTCTTTAATAAGCAGTGATGCATCAAGTAACATTACTACCCACTTGTATTTCTTCTTTTGCAAATTACTTATTCATGTCCATTTCTTACTTTTTCCTTTGAAATATTTATGAGAACTCCTTACAGACTAAGAATTGGCTAACATTTAAATCAGCATGGAACTTTGCAACAAGAACTTCCGTGTCAAACTGCCTCTTACTGTCACTTGTTGTTTCTATTGGCCTAAACCACAACCCTGTACCTTTTGTGTCCATTTCCTTCTCATTGCACCAAATGGTTGAAATAGACTTGCCATTCTTGAGAGGGAGTGGAGGGTAAGGGACTCCCTGGGTGGTGCAAGCGGTTAATGTGCTTGGCTGTTAACTGAAAGGTTGGGGGTTCAAGTTCACCCACAGGCACCTCAGAAGAAAGACCTGGTGATTTACTTGCAAAAAATCAGCCATTGCAAACCCTGTGGAGCATAGTTCTCCTTTGACACACATGGGGTTGCCACCAGTCAGAGTCGATGTGACAGCAACTGGTTACCAGTTAGAGGGCAAAAATCTGAAATCAGAGGCATTCGAGTTTTTAAAAGCCTAAAATAATGTAAATATATTTAGAATCAAAAATATTTTTCTATAATTAGACATTCCCCCCATTTTTTCTGATGCCGATTTTCTGGCCCCTTGTTAAATGTCACATGTTCTTCACCACTGCTTCCTTACTTGCAGGTGTCATAATAGGCCTTTCTCTCATTCTCACTGTCTCCAAGGTCCCAGTCGCCCACATGACCCATTGTTTTCCGTGGCCCACTGCTTGTTTTCGTTATTCTCAATCCTTCTAAGTTTCAAGTTCCTTTCCCTTTGGGGATATCTGGCATGAGTCATAGCAAATCCTCAATCAAAATTTCTTAATTAAATGTTATTAATTTCTTTTTTTGCTGGAACGCATTTAGTTTTTGATACTTTCAATAAAATACAGGCAGTTTGTATTTACTATCTTAAAAATATTCCCCATTTGTCTGTTTATATAGCTTTTCCATGCCTTGATTTCTTTTTAAAGTTATGTAGGAAATGTATTTTTATTATAATCAGTGTTCAGTTTCCTATTAAACTACTGTAGTCTTGATTTATTTCACTACTTGTATCAAATTTTCCCAGATACGAGAGTCCTTTATTTCTCAAATTCTCTAAAATTAACATGTTATACTAGTAAAAGCCAAAAGGGATGTATTAGTTTGTA